ATATATATATATATATTAATTTATATTATATATATAAAGTATACATATATAATTTATTTAACAGTTTCAATTTATTTTATTATTTTAATAAATTATTTTAAATTTAATTATATATTTTTATAAGTTTTATCAAGTAAATAAATGATAATGAAATAAAATATTTTAAAATATATTTTAATTAAAAGTATATTTTAAACTCTTAACTCTTATAATGAATATTGTTCGGATAAACACATTAAATTATATATTTTAATATAATTAAAAATTGATAATATAATATTATTATCTCTAAAAAGATAAAAGTGAAATTTATTTTATATTTAAACATATAAAGATAATAAATTTTATATTTTAACATAAAAGAAAAAGACAATATAGTATTCTTATCTCTCACTGAATGATAACGTATTTTACTCTTTTGTTATACATAATGTCACACCCTTTACTTTGCATACATTAATAAGCATAATAATGAAGTAATTTGAAAGGAAAGGAGTTTATGAAAAGAAAATCAACTAGAATAAAATCAAGTATGAAGTAGAGATATCACATTACAACTAACTAGAAACCAAAGACTAAACTAAATGTCAATTAAAGTTACTAGTCAACAAAGAATTTAACAATTGTCCTAAACATGAACAAAACATAATCAAATCCTATTTAAGCCTAGATATCATATTTTATCAGAGCATAAACCCAAAGCAAGGTCTAAGTCTCATCTCCAACATCATATTTAGTTTCACCTGTGACAACATCCAAATAGAACAAATATAAGAAATAGAGAGTGAGAAATATCTCACTTTGTCTCATGGCGTAGACTATAGCCGAATAACCAAAACACAAGAAAAAAGTAAAACAACTAAAACATCACAAAAACACAACATAATATGACAACTTATCATATAACAACAAGGTACATCACAAGTTTTAATATAATATATTCCACTACAAGGCATCAATAATGCCACTATACAATTTCACTTCACACATTTAATACAATGGACATAGACTCTATAGTAAATGCATGAGGTGCCTAACGAATACACCGTGGTGCATCGCCATATGCTAACACACAGAGTAGCATAGGAGATCATGTTTGGTTACACTCTCATAACACTTTACACTAGGAAGAGATACACTAATTAAGGTCTTGTTGGGATAACTATTTTGCACAAGTCCCATCCCATACACACAATGGGTGAAATTGGAAGTTCCCAAACTCAACTATCTTTGAGGTTATGAAACCCTAAGCTTTTACACAAGGAAGCCTTTCTTGGGAGTGTATTATATATCGTACTCACCTAACAATAACTATGGATATCATGCATGTCATAAGACTCGATATCACACCATGTTATCACAACCATTTCCACAATAGTATATCCATTATCAATCATCACATGTTCAATGCATGGCTAAGCCTTGGCTTAACTTTTCATAATGTGGCCCTTATAGGATCCATATGCAACAACTGTACCAATGTTAGTGCACATTGTTCAATTCAAACATAACTCACAATTGTATCAATAACATGTTCATATACCACAATTAGATATTAGTGTCAAACGACATAAGGATTACAATTACAAGATGCATCCCAATTAGAACAAACAATCTCGATATGCATAGTGACACTTGATGATGATCACCCTATGCTCGAGGTCTAGATAGCACATGTTGCTCTTGGGATAGATCACATCTAGCATGATAATGTTCATGCGCTCAACGAAAACACCATAGGGGTCCCCTAAAACTCCCATACCTAGCATGGACCAATCCATGCCCAACGCAAATGACATAGAGAACAAACTCTACTCTTGGCCACAACGATGCCCAACAAGCCCCAAGTGGTACCCGATGTCGAGTAAAAAATGCAACATAGTAAAAAAACGTGAATTCCATACAACAAGTGTAACTCATCTATTTTGCAATTTCAATTGATAAAGCATTTCAAAGGTCATATTACACTTTTGAAAGGTAAAAATTACATACATTCACATGGTCATACCAATTCATCATACAAACACCAAAACGCACCTTAATTAGGATTCTCGTAGGAACCCATAAACAATCTAAGATCCACAAGATTTATTATTTTGGCACATGAAATTAAACATACACACAAGTTAATATATAAAATCAATTAGAGTACTGAAAAATCACATGAAAGACAGAAACATAAGATAACATAATTTGGGATTTCCCCTTTCATACAATGCATCCAATAAAGAAGAGATTAAAGTCAATCTCATTACTCAACATATATCCAGTGCCCAAAGTGAGACTACTCACTCCACCCCTACCTTGGTGGATACTAGATGAAGGATGTGAATCTCTAAGATGATTTTCCAC